TCCTTCACTTTATTGAGACTCAAAAGATATTTTATCAAACAATACAATTTGGAAAATACAATTATGAACTATTCAATTCAGTAAGTTGTATGTAATAAAACTATTTTGTACCCTTGTTGTACATCATAAGCACCAACTCGAAAAAAAGCATCTTCCAACAATAATTCTTCAATATAATAGATGATAGACATAATAACTTACGAAAAATTAATCGTCTCATTATCTCATATTTATTAGATTAATAAAAAAATATATACTATAACTTGAATAAAGTAGGGATCAATTCACGAGTTTTTTTAATCTAGAATGATTACAAGATAGTATCTGTATGAAATACTCTCAACCATTTGACAATGAACGCTTTAACACTCCTATACACGTCGTGTTTGAATATGAAATCTCTACATATAACAATTATCTTTTTAACTACTAAAGCCGTTTGATTCGTGTTATTAACGAGTATCTGAAATATATATATATATTGAATTTACTTTGGCGTACTTCTCTGAGGTTATCATTGAAATTGGAAATAAATATAAAGAAAACCTTTTCTATATATGTTGAAATTACATACAACTTGCAATAAAATTAAATTGACTTGATTTTTATAATTATACTCTCATGTCTTAACTACCTATTTGTGGTGATCGCTAATTTTAGGGAAATTTCCCAATGTCCAAAAAGATAGGAAATCGTGAAGGGGAGCAATAGCAAAATACGGAAGTGATTGAAGGGACGTGAAAGACCATACCATTCCGAATGTGATCATAAAGAACTACGAACATTCGATGTTATAAGAAATAATAATCACAAATTTTAAATATAGATCGTAAAATAAATATAGAAAATATACTGAAAATGACTTGTCGTGTGGGATCAAATGTGAACCAGAGGCTAACGTTGCAATTAATTTTGATTGACTTTGCGACATCACCCTCTTTGTGGAAGGTGTTGTCGCGGCCGTCTACCATCAAAGATGAACGATCAAACCAATATTTGACTTTTGGACCATCAATGCAACTATAGGTTCAATAAATATACAGCAACGTGTTTTTATTCCTTGTAGAAGAAAATGGACGGCTTTATTCCTTCACAATGGGTTTTTGATTTAAATATATGGTCATGGGTCTGTTTCTGAAAGAAATGAAACAAAAACTGTAGGTGTCTGAATCATGTTGAAAATGGCTACCATAAAGAAAATGACAAGTAATGCTTAACTGGAATTTAACCTGGATATTTGGGTGTTTCTGCTTGGGTGGTTGAGCAGTCTGAACCAAGTTGGTGTACCGATATTCCACAGGTATTCTATTTGTATAAAACAAAACAAATGAATAAGCACAAGGTATTCTGGGTATGTTCAACTCAAAGGAATTGATCATTTACATTGAACATCAGTTGACAGTTGGTTCATATCTATGTTACTCAAACTCAAATGTAAGTGTTCCATACATATATATGTCTAATATGAATTGACATGACAATGCACTAAGAGTTGGAAGCACAATTTTTTTTCCTTATTCACAGATAGATTACTTGTTTTCATTTGTCTTTTTCTTTTCATTTTGGAGCGAGTTGTTTTCGTTACTATGTGCGACAACATCCTGGATTTTATGCAATATATTTGCTAAACTTCTCATCTCAAAATGCAATGTCTGGTTACAATAACACTTGTTGAAGTTTGGAACAAAATTATAGGGAAAAGGATATCAAATGAACCACCAACAGTTTGAAATGGGTACACCTCTCTCTCAGACACCAAATTATGTATGACAACATCCTTTTCTGATATAGTCCATTTGGTCGAGTATTGATCATTTGATTGAATCGAACTCGAATAATTTACGATCTATATCTATCATAACCTAATTTAAATAAAATTATAATAAAAAGGTTAAAATTTAGAAGCAATTTAATGAAAATTGGGGACCAAATTATAATTTTTCATAACTTGTAGTCTTTTTATAAGTTTCATGAAATCCAGGGACCTATATCTATATTATCTCATTTTCTGTTGGTAGACAAAATATAAAAGATTTGTGTTAGGTGGTTGCGGGGTGTCAACCCCTACCATCGGAAAGGCCGGCTTTGGCCTATCTATTTAAGCTATAGTATTGTTGTTGAAATATTTAGTAAATATATGCTATATAGGGATTAAAGCTCGGGTTTAATACCAAGAATTAAAATCCCCAAATTAAATCTTGAATTTTTAACCCTAAATTTCATCTCCCGTCAACCCTCTTTATCGCCTCAATCCGCCACCGTTCATCTTTCTGACACCATCAATAGACTCAATGTCGACTGGTGACCAAAACCCGACCCCTATCCCGTTGTGAATTGTCGCCATTCGTCGTGGAAGAGCCAAGAAAAACCTCGTCAAAAACCCCTGTCGCCGCATATATTTTCGTTGATTTCGGCTGCCTCCATCGTTATCTCGCCTCACCGCCACCTCTATTGCATTCACCGGTGTCGTGAGAGCAAAACCCGATCGGTTTCATTCCTTGTTGACGCGCCATCACCTATCTTCGTTTGGGGTAAGTTTCGATTGAAGAATCCGATGATTTTTTACTTGTGTTGTTGTGAAATTGGTTGATTATTGCATAATTTGGAGTGTGTAGAAGACAGGGGAGTAATCGGTCGGTGGAAACGAACCCCCTCATCGCCGCACGTGCTGCCACGCGCCAGCAGTGCACGTGGTGGTCTCCAGCCGGTCCAGGCAGAACCAAAACGAGTTGACCCAACCCAAACCGTTAACCGATTTGACTGTTGACTTTGACCGAAAAGTCAAAATTTTTGAAAAGTTATATTTCATATTTTTCGACGTCTTGAGTCTGAATCTGAAGTCCGTTTTGCCAAATTCAAACCCGAAAACCTCCAAATTAACCGTCAAATTCGAACATGCATATGTGCTTAAGTGTTTTAATTTCGAATAATTAAAGTAAGACTTGAGACTGATTAGTTGTTGTTATTTGAAGGTACAAGAAATTCATCTGATCGTTCGACAGCTCGACCCAACTCTTCTCGATCCGCTAGACCTCGTGAGCCATTAGTCATTCGTATGAACCGTGAACCTTATGAATACCCAGATTAGAATATTACTTCGATATTAACTCAGTTTGCTATGAATTAGGTTTGAGAACTGTAGCAGAGCGTGACAAGGTCGGTGCTCAGTAGATTTTCTGTGTAACCCTATTTTACGAGGTGTGTTCCCTATATGTTAAACGACTGTTTCACCTACTTTAAAATAAGTTTCACTGAAAATTTTGATTTACTGATTTACTGGTTAAAGGTTTATAGACTATGGTGGAATAATATATATTATTTGGATAACTGTTTTCACTAGAAATATGATTATGCCGAATATGAATCATGGAAATTACTGCTTATTATGTGAACTGTTTTTATTGAAACATTTTTCTAGGTAGGCTGGAGTATGGATGTTCAACTCTGATCAAGCCGATAAATCTTTATGGACCTAAGGTGACCATTGGGTAGGCTCTGAGGCCCCGAGAACCTTCTTGGGTAGGCCCCAAGAACTTTCTTGGGTAGACTCTCAGGCCCCAAGATGCTCCCTTAGGTTGGCTCCTTATATCCAATGAGTATAAGGTAAGCCCTACGGGAGGAGGGTAAACTATGAGTTTTAAAAACTTAAGCTTTATCAAGATTTCCATGAGATTTTACTGAATTATTACTTGATTGTTTTACATATTATGTTTTAATTGCACTATTGGGACACATTGAGCCACTAGCTTACTTTTCAACTATTTTACCCCATTCAAATACTATTGGATAGACACTTCGTACCAGACACTTGGAGGATCGACACATTTAGTACATATCATGTTGTTGTAGTGTTTTATCTTCCACTATGCTTTCAATTACAGTGACATGTGCCATTATTTTAAATACTTGTTTTTGTGAATTATTTTGGTTTGCTATTGCTTATGACATACTTTATTTTACTCCGTTATTTAAGGTTTTATATTTATTAGATGGATTTATTATTAATCATTATGTTTTCACGATGTTATTTAAAATATGAAATTAAATTATCGAATAACTTTTTAGAAAATGTTTTAAGAATTTTTAAGGTAATCCGTTAGACTTGGTCGAAACGCAGAGGCTGAGTCTAAGGGTTACAGTATCGTCACATTTACAGTACTACTTGTAGTTATTATATTCTTTCGTTAAAACTCATATTCATCATTTCCAGCCTGTTTTCCTGGTCATTGATATTCTCTGTAAAAAAACAAGTAAACCAAGTTATAGTGGACAAAGTTCGTAACGTATTTAGCTTGTGTGGTGTATCAGAAATGAAGGATGGTGACAAGATATCATTTAAGAGCAAAATGGCTAACGAATTTGTATATAAATACAACCTTCTCCCCATTGCCTTGTAAATGGTCAACAAAGGTATAATTGATCAATTAGTAGTAATGCATTTATTCAAGGTTATGCTGTGAGGCGGTTAAAAATGCTAGTTTAACACTACTTAAAAAAAAGTATGTGAAAAGATATTTTTGGATTGTTTTAAAAGATATTATTAAAATTTTGGAGTTTAAGATTGCAGTGTTTGATATTGTTGTTAAAAAGTTTATTTATGTAAATTAAATGTTCGTCTTAAAGAGTACTTATTTACATTGATGTAAATATTCTCTTTGATGTCTGAAAATATAGAATGCAATTGAGAGAAAATAATGGATTCAGATTTAATCAATGTAATTTTAATTATGATATTGTGCTTATGCGCTAGATAAATCCCACCCAAAGTAAAATTTAAGTTATTGTGCATAGAGATAAATGGGCACAAACCATCAACTTCCCATCCCAATACTTTTGTCATTTTTTTATGAAATATTAATAATATTTTTTAGTAGTTTCGTGTAATTATAATGTAAGTTGTAATTGTTTAAGAAAAATAATATTCATTTTTATCATCGAATACTCTAAATAAGTTCAAATATTAACAATATCTTTACAAATGTATGTTATATGTTTTACAAATGTACTTGTTTAACAATAGTGCAACAGTGGCTGAGAAGATAGGATGCCGTCACAGGGAGATCGAGCACTTGATGGAGTGTAAGCCGCTGTCGGAGGCGGAGGTGAAGGCATTGTGCGATCAGGCTCGGACAATATTGGTGGAGGAATGGAATGTGCTGCCGGTGAAGTGCCCGGTAACAGTTTGTGGAGATATTCACGGGCAATTTTATGATCTAATAGAGCTGTTTGGAATAGGAGGCAATGCGCCTGATACTAATTATATCTTCATGGGTGATTATGTAGGTCAGTCAGTCATTTTGCTTCTTTATTTCATTCTCTTATCTTTTTTTTGGTCGTATTATTTGAAAGTTGATGCAATTGATTTAAGATTAAGGTTTCTTTCTTCTTCCAAAACTAATGTTAAGAGCAGGGTGAACTTGTTATTTTTCTTAATATTTCATGTATTTATGTGAAATTTTTTAGTGGATTAATTCATGGGATGCTATATAATCTTCTCTCTTTTTTCGAGTATATTTGATTCTTTCCTGGCTTTTCCTAGAAAATTAAGAGGCGTTGGTTGGCAGATTAGCTGCCTTTATATATGTTGATAAACCGGTGGATTATCATATTCAATTTGTATCATTGCAGATGCTTTTATGATCTGTAAATGTTACTTAGCTTGCCTTAGATTTACTGCTTAGTTCTGATTCTTGGATGCTTAAAACGGCTGAGAATTTTGGGTGGGTCTGGTATTTGAGCTTTGCTCGACTTGGTCTAAACTGTTGGCAATTGTATTCTGTAAGGTCTTGTTCTATCCTTTCAAATCCGTAAGACTTAATTCTTTTTCAGCTTTGCTGTAATTTAGAAACATTAGCCGTTACGTGTGTCAATTATTATCTACATTAGTTGTGGCTACATAGAGGAGTTAGATGTGGGTTGAACCAAGTTCATTCAAAAGTTCTTCCAATTAATTGAATGATGTTGCAGCTGTTTGCGCATCCATATTTATGAATGGAATTGGATTTTAACTTTAGCTGCACATGTGCAGATCGTGGGTACTATACACTATTAGTGGCCCTCAAAGTCCGTTGTAGAGATAGAATGACAATTCTTAGAGGAAATCATGAGAGCCGACAGATAACACAAGTGTAAGGTCTTTTCACCCGCCTTTTCTTCTTTTTGAATGATTTCGTAGCATATATGATGAATATAACATTATTCAGGTCTTTCTTGGTAGGAGAATGAAAATGTAAGAACAAAGAAAGAAAATATGTTAATTAATGGTCAACATACAAAATAGGAAAGTGGTTACAGAATTTAACTTTCGGATTAAGAATTTTTCCATCCTTTCTAACAAGCAAAGTCTTAGTTTATAGTTTTCCAAACCAGCTGGTATCTTTCTAACACATAACTGTGATGTGTCTTTTTAATAAAAAATTCCAGATGTGTTTTCTGTTTTAATTTGGATTGGCTTAGTTTAATTTCCTATCTCCCTTGCCTTTTGAATTGGTAAATATAAAGAAGAAAACCCTATTTCTGTTGCACATAAAATTCCTATTTTGGAAGTTGCTCAGTTCTCTTCCCTTCAAGGCTGAAGTTGTGATTAGTGATTTGGTTTTGAAATTATCCAATAGGGCTATTGAGTAGATAAATTATTCAATAATCTCTGATCTGTTTTGACTTTTCTGACTTTTGAGCTTTTTTTTAAACGTGATTGCCCAACTATATGAATATATTGGTAATTGAGGAAGTTACTTGACCATTCTTGGAGTTATATTTGACAGAGTGGCTGGAGGTTTTTGTATATCTAGACCATGCATTTGGGTCCATGCATGACAGAGAGGGGGCTATTCATTCTTGTTTAGGTTAAAATCTGTCATGCAATATATCGGCATGGTAACTTACTAGCTTGCAAACTATTATGGCAATATATGATGTTTTGATGATATGCATCAATTTACTCTTGAATGGACGTGTATGAGGGGACATGCTACTAATAATTGATACTTGTGATGTCAAACCCGACCTCTGTCCCTAGTCCCTTTTTAGTATGATTTTCACTTCTTAAGTTTCTTTATTTCCTATAGAATGAAACTAAATAGCATTGCTATTTGGATCTCTACTTAAATGCCTTCCTCCCCATCATACCTTTTTCTTCCCTGTATCGCAATTCTTTGTATGTTTTCCCTTTCTTTATTTTCCAATAGAAGAAACCGTATTAGCATGGTTATCTGGATGCTGCCTAAATGTCATTTTAACCAGTTTGCTGGTTCTGGCCTATAACATATATAACCCATGTTGAATATTGCACTGTGTAAAAAGATAAGGTTTGTGATTGCCATCTTTTAGTATTCCTGCTGGATGTCTGGTACCACTATAAAATTAATTTACATGAATTTGAGCCTAGATAAAGCTTATTAGGATTGTGATTATTCAACTTTCTTACTGTTAAAATCACACTAGTTAAAAGTCTTGAAAAGGCCCAAGGCTGACATGCCATGGAAATGCGTCAATCATAGTGACAAGGTTGTCAAAGTTGACATTATATCCGGTTGTTACAAACATCATGGTGACTCATACCAGACATGTTGCAAAACCAAGCTAAAGCATACCTGCTAAACCTCATCGTGGTATGAACAGTTAATAAGATGGAAGACTCCCAAAAGCACCATTTAAGAAATATATCACTTTTGATTTTCGTTTTCATTTTCGGTTATTGTTTAAGGCTTTTTATTTAAGGGTTTTAAGGTAAGGGCTTTGTGTAGTTTGATGGTTTATATTTTGTGTTTAGGTTTTTAAAGTATTTCGAGTGTTTTGCTATGTTAGAAAATAATGGTTTAGGGTTTAATATGAATTAACATTATTTAATGCTTTTCAAAAAAATATTATTATTTAAATGTAATAGAATCATCGTATTTGAAAAATGATAGGCCAAGAAATATTTTAATCGATAATTGTCGTTAGAGAAGATACTAAATGATTATAATTCGACGATTACGATTTGGGGTTACGATATGCTAAAAGTGATGGACTAATTTTTTTATTGTGACTTAAGTTTCCACGGTATCCATATAATTTAGGGTATCCGATCTTCTCTCTAATATCTATGTCGTTATAAATCCTAATCAATTTTGGACTACCTAAAAGTTCTCTTCACAATGAAGAATCCAATAGAACTATAGGCCAAGTGACAAACTGATTCCATTCTCTTTCGTTTTCAATTTAGAACCCATTTGAATGTTTGAAAGAAACTGCTGCAATTGCACTACCAAAGTTGTAGAATCTCCTGGACCGAGTTTGATGGAACCATTTGAAATGCTAGGCTAACCCCTTACCATTTCAACGGATTGAGCCAATCAGTTCGGTCCCGGTACAATCATGGGAAAAGCTTTAAAAAAAATTAAGCATACAATATCAAACAAGTATCTATATCCAATATAAACACGAGGGGGAAAAACAAACAACAGACATAGTAGCAACTCGGAATAAAAGTAACTTCTTGTCATCTATGTTAAATATCATTTGGATATGCTAAATTATTTTTTTAAAAGCTTTTTTTCAAATATGTGGAAAGATATGATCATAGTTCCCTATCTATGTTCAAATATGTACCAACTAGAGACTACCAAAACGTGTAAGCTTTCAACTAAAGAGTGCAGGAAAATCAATTAGTACATCGTTACATTTAAGGAAAATTTACTTTCAACAATTTTCACTGCAACATTGAGATTTAAAAAAAATATATTAAAAAGGAAAGAAATGAGCAACTAAAGCATTACCTGTAGATGTAGTTTTATACTAAATTACTTCAAAGCCTCAATAATCAACAAGTGGTTTCCTATGAAAGGGCTTCCAAATTAAAACCTAGAGTTAGGTTGGATCCTCCCTGTAGAAACACCGGGCATGGTAATGGCCCGCTTTCTTCTTAAGAATATGACTGAACCACTAATGAGCAGTAAGCCAAAAACAATTCCCTGCATATATTAGTTCCAAGTATTATGCATCAAATCCGGGGGGGCACATCAGCAGGGACAATCATCCAACTCAATCAACTTCATCTCTAATTATTGACACCAATAAGAGTCGATCAATCAGTGATTTTGTAGTCTCATACACTCTTGGTTGATAATGCAACAATATGATAGGATCTTGATTTTAGAGATTTATTATTTTAAATAATAGAATTCTTAATCTTATTAATTTATATTAAAATATTTAATTTCCCTAAATGTTTTCTATTTCCTGTTTGAGAACCCTAATTCTTGGTCAACAAGGATTATAAATCCTATACATATATATGCTTTGTGGATATTTTCTCAAGCAATAAAATATAACAGAAAGCGAAAAAAAATTACTATTCAATATAAAGGTGGAGTTTCACAGATAGGAAGATGGTGATCCATGTAGCTAGACTTCCGAGAGCGAAAAAATATTTTCGCTTCCAGAAAACCCCAGAAGAATCTAAAGTGGAAATAGCTTCAATCAGGTAGATGGAGATGCTATTTAATGGTATGACTGATTCGAATCATGCCATGAAATTCCTACATGGAAGCAATTTAGAAGAGGCCTTCTTGTTTGTTTTGGGCCATCTAAACATGAGAAAGTTGAAGAGATCTTGCTAAAATTCGTCAAACCTCAACAATTTTGAAGTATCAAAACCGATTCAAGTGACTATCATCAAATCGAGCTAAGGATTGGTCGGAAAGACAACTGGTGGGAACATTCATTGTAGGCCTTAAGCCTGATATTCAATGTGAAGTTAAAGCTCACCAACCCCGTATTATGATCACTGTGATTTCTTTTGCACGATTACACAAAGAGAAGATCCATATAAAAAATAGAAACTCATCGAGTTTAATAAGGGTGTTAGTAAGAAGACTGTCAGCAAGCCACCTCTTCTACTTATAATCACAACTCTAATAATAGATGATTAACCCAAGAAGAGCCTCTACAAAAGGCTTATGTTGGCATTGTGATGAAAAGTGAAGTAAATGGCATCGTTGCAAACAATGAAAACTTTTGATAATTGAACCTGTTGCAGATGGCTCGGAGATTGAAGCTGAATATTCTGACTAGGAAGGTTATGATGACAATGGAGGTTATTCTAATCCTCAAACCATGAAAGTTGGGGGGGGTGTTGAAAAGTCAACTAGTCACTATTTTGATTGATACTGGTAGCACTAATAATTTTATAAACAGTGGCACTAATAATAAATCAATTCATGATTTTCTATTCTCATGGACTCTTGGTTGAGAATATGATGCTATGCACCCATTCGTTTGCACATATAGTCACCAAGAGAAATGTCCTGTCTCGGCTGTTTTATAACTTCTAAATTAGACATCGGTCACAACAAATATAACTAGAATTTTACTTAATCAAACCACGGGCATATAGCCTCAACAAGTTGTACAAAGGGCTAACTGGAATGGTAAAGAACACAGAAGTGTGATCAACCTAGTATGAGTTACTATTTCACGAGAAAAAAATTTGGTATGAGTTTCAAATGTCTTATGCTGCCAATCAATCTGCATATTGTTGGAGAATAAAGATTAGGATCCAAAAAGAAACAAACAAGAGATCTGAAGCAAATAGGAAAAGTCAACCACCCTATGTTGCTCGGACATGAGTGTTAGATACGAGTAGTAAAAAAATGAGGAGTCAGAGCAACATAGGGATCAGCCATCCAATTCAAATATATTTTTAGAATGGCTACACGCATATCAAAACTCAAGAATAAACCCTATAAAATATGCAACCTGATTCATGTTATGAGGATAAAGAAGATATTTGTCTAATCAATCAATTACAAAAAATGAATGAAAGATAATGTGACCAAAAATTACATACCTCAAAACCGAGTACTGATAACTTCTCTTCATTAACTGCAGGTATACAGCTTCTATAGGTGATGTAGGCTCGTCCCCTACTCTCCGATGTGGATGAATCATCAAGTTTTCTTGACTTCCCATTGATGACTGAGATTTCAAGATCAGACCTATCCTTTTCGATTTTTTGTTTATTTTCAGCCTTCGAACCATCATCAAGTTCAACACATTTGAAAGGGATACGATATCCAGTCTCACTACATCGATATTTTTTGTCACTCTGAAGAAAAAGTAGCACTCTAATGAAACCCTCAAACAATTTTCAAATGCAGGAAGAAAAAAGAAAGAAAGAAGTCACAAAGATTATAGAGGGCTATATTCCAAACAAATAAAACAAAAAATGCATACTGAAAGAAGATTGAAGGTTAATAGCAAAATGTACATAGTGCAAATTATTAACATGTTAAATTTTATATAAATATAAAATATCTTAAACACAATAACGACATGGAGAAATACACAAACATGAGGGAATCCACGAATTGCTGGATCTAGCACCAACTTTGCAACAAAAAGTTTTAAAATGTCTGTTCTAATCCATCTTTTCACATGAATGTAAAGGAAGAACAAATTATTTAGATTAAAAATAGGTACATGTATTACTTTTGTAACTGATTACAGCATCTTAAATTGGAGATCTTTGCAATTTTATCGGAAAATAAGCATTCATTTTAAGTAAATTAAGACAAAACAGAAATTCATATTTTATTCATAATAAAGCAAAAATCTACAGCTTCTAATATGGAAGCTATAGAATTCAACAAATAAATTAACAAATTGAAAACAAAAAAAATGAAGGGGGGGGGGGGAAGAAAGAGGACCTTCTCAGAGTAAAGGCAAGGAACGCAAGGACCAGAGGGAGAGCAATCGAAAGTATCGTTACTTTCTTTAGAAATTCTTTGAAGCTCATCAAAACTCTGTGCTGAATTCTTTCCCTTCATAAAGTAACAAAAATAGGGTTTAAAGCTTAAATTATATCAGATTAAATTAAACATTCTGCAACCATATAAAAATCATAATAATTAAAATAACAAAAAAAGGGGGGAGAAATTGGGCAATTACTGTTGATAACCGATTGAAGACGCCGAGGGAGAGGCGAGAAGGAAGAAAGGCAATGAAAAGAATAACAGAATAACTGATAAATTCCAAGATCTCATTCCTTTCTATTTTTCCTTAACTCTGCTTTTCGATTGTAGTTAATTTGCAAATTTACTTAGAAAGATCTGCTTACAATTGAAAAGATGGAAAAATAAAATAGAGCGGGAAAAGAAAAGTGGAAGGGGAGGGGAGCGGAGGAGGGAGGTGGAAAGGGGGAGCTGGCAGAGAAAGGGCGAAACGATGGTGAGACTGAGAAGGAGAGAAGAGTAAAAAGAAGAAGAAAACAAAATTTATGAATAAAGTGTATAAATTACAACGAAAGTACTAAAATGATTTTTTTTTTATTAATTTTATAAAGTTATGGCTTTATTATTTTTTATTATTTTTAAAAAATATTTTTAAAAGTAAAAAAAAAAATTATTTTAAAATTATAAAAATATAGTTAGTACCTAGAGGGAAGGGACCGGAGAAATATAAGCAAATGCTCTTAGTAATTGATGATTAATTTCATCAACTGATTAAATATGTTTGCTCTAATGATCAATGATGTATTGACATGTATGAAATTAAAATATATTAACTTTGTCAATTTAACTATATAAATATGATTATTTCAACTTTGTGTCTATATTATATATATATTTCGTATAATATATTTTAAAAAAAATATTTTAAATATTAATTTTTAATAATTTACATTTATTGTTTTATAACTTATACTATATATTTATCTCATATATTACATTGTATTTACTTCAGATATATCAAAATATATATTACATATCTAATTTAAAATATTTTTTATTTTTAAAAAAGTTAAATAAGTCTTCACTTTTAAAATAATAATTTGACCACGGGACTTAATAAAAAAATAATTTAACCTCTATATCATTTCATCATCCATAATGAACTGTCTCGTCAATATCATTAAGTTGTAATGTTAATATTGTGGATTGTTACGTTGATATCATAAATTATCACATTAAGATCTTAGATGGTTATAGTAATATTATAACGGTTAACATTTAATTTTATTGATAAAGTTAACTTTTTTTTCAATTTAATGATTACATTAAATATTAGTATAAAAGGAGACAACATTATATAAAAAAAACATAAACCTTATAATGTAAGATATAATACTTTCTATTGAGTTTGATTTATATTATATAATCATATTATTATTGAGTTTGATATATATTATTTGATCAATTTTTTTTTCTCTTCTATCAAATTACTTCAAACTCACGAAATATAATATCTTTCAAAATACAACATTTGGATAAATGATAAAAGAATATAATATTTTTTATCTTAAACATTTGGAGAGTAAATTTTATCACCATATTTATCATCTATAAGTACAATGTAAGACTACAAAAAGGATATACTCTATTATCTAGTTAGAAGATATTAATTTATTAATATAAATGATAAGTGTGTATGCCACATTAACTGCGATTAATATGACTTGAAATGGCGTAATGAAGTGATATTAAAAGTTCAATGACTCTAATACAAGTTGTAAAAGTAAGGTAACCGAAGTGAAAGAATTATAAACGTTAGTGGATTTACGCTTTAATTTTTCCAATTAAAAAATGTAAAATTCTAAACAAACGACGTCGTTGGAGAAGTCCACGCAAATTGAATATGAAGTAAAAAACTAACCTCCTCTAGTGTGGGATTGATGATAAGATTTATCTCTACAATTATTTTAATCTTTCTTTGCTTTTTGTAAATTTAATTTCAATGGAAGCGGGAAGGATCCTCCACATCGGCATTCCATGCACCCCCCGGGCGCAGGCCTCCGCCTACTCGTGTTCTTAATTTCCCGCGCATTCTTTGCTCGACATTCCCTGGGAGGTCTGAGCTGCCATTTCTGTCTCTTTACCCTGAGCTGCCATTTCTGCCTTCAAATACCCAGGTCTCTAATCATCTTTACTCTTTATCAAGTGCACCTTCTTTTCATGCACCAGAGAGCTAGGATTCCTTTAATGCACTTTATAGATCTTTTATCTTCTTTGGGGAATTTTAATATCTGCAATACAGTATAGAAATACTCTTCTTTTTCTTTTGTTTTTCACGGAACATTATTTGTGAATTTTGAAAATATTAACTTTTGTAACAAAATTGATAACTTGTAAAAATTAATTCTTTTAAAAAAAACTGTAATCCAAATAAGTTGTATTGCATGAGGTTTTTAATCAAAATTGAATTTACATCTCAATTAAGCATTTATATAGACTCACAAGTCACAATTAAGCAATAAGAAATAAAATATACTAATGTAACTTAAATTGAAAATTTTTCACAGAACACAAAAATTCTTAAGCATTCAAAGGAGGTAAGCAAACATGAGTAAACCTTTAACATTTCATCTTCTGTTGCTTGCAACTAAAATTGGGCAAACTGGATAATGAACTAAGAGTAAACCTTCAGTAGAGTAATAATAGCTATTCTTATAGCCGACAAAGGGAACTAAAAAACTTTCTTCAGGATTCTTTGCTCCAACTCCAGGAGGCCTCATCTTATTATCAAAAACCTAAATTATGTTTACAGATGATAACTTTAGCAGTCAATCTCAAAGAACATAGATGCCAAACAATAGTATTAATCTACAGTAAAATGTAAACGCAATGTTGAAACATAACCCTAAGTTTCAGACTTTCAGTAAAAATAATAACATAATATTTGAAATAATATTTAGTCTTCAAAGAACATTTAAATTCTGATTTTTATCTTAGGGAAAAGGGAAAAGGTTACTACACAACTTAAGGAAGAAAAGACTATTGTAACTCCCTCTACCAAATCGGTACGTATATTGGGCAGGCGGTGCTACATTCGGATAACAGAGAAAAATTGGATCAAATCAAATTTAATTAAGCTTTGAAACAACATAGTAAATATGTAATCAAACGATAAGGACCAAATGGCAGAACACATCAAACATATGGATATACAAATTACAAGCACCAATTATCGTTTTAAACATTTTATAAATTGAGTATCGATACAAGTCTAGAGGGTATCAATACTTTCTGACTGGTATCGAAACCAATCGAAGATATCGATGCCATTTTTAAGTTTGATGTTCTGAAAACTTTCAATTAAGGACCTCAACCTTTTAAGAAATTCCAATTATCAATAAACCATAATACTAGTTATGAATTATTCAATTCTAATTCAATAGTCAAATATAGGATTAGCTAATAAAACAACTAACTAACTGAAATCAATGTGGTTCGAATCCCGAATATTTAATTAATAAAATATTCAATTTGATTTCTGGTCACTTGGTTTAGTACAAGTTTCTGTTATCGAAATTAGGGATGTTATAAGTATTGATTTCCTCTTGCCATTTCACAATTTAAGTGTGTATATATGAAGATCGGGAGGACTTAAATTATTTTAACCTTATTAGGCAGTGATCTTGCAACCATTGGGAGATAGAGGCATTGCGATTCTTGGTGGGGACACCATTAAGGGTTTTACAGTTTCTGACCAGGTGCTTTATTTTTCAGTGGTGACAATTATACCATCTCTTGTTAGTATCAAGCAGGTTGATAATGCAATTTTATGCCATCAAGTATCTTATCTCATGCTTAGTTGCTCTTAGCTTTCTTTTTCTAAAGCGGGGGGGGGGGGGGGGGGTTCATTTAGCTCTTTGCTTTCCTTTTTGATTTACAAAATTGAAATATTCACTTGATTGTCAGTCATTTATTGTTTTCAGGTTTTTAATGTAGTCCATTCTCTAGATCTGAATAACAGTGGTTTCAACTTTTTTAAAGTCATTCTCATCTCCAAAAGATGCAAAGTTTTAGGCTCTACATATTGCCTTTCTTTTTTCTTAGAGATGCAATAATATTTTTCAACGAGCTTTGACTCTGTTGGATAAAATATTTTCTTAGTTTCTAAGACAGTCTTGCCGAGTAGTTAATAACTCTAGTTCGGTTGTTGTTATGGTGGTTTGTTACCTGCTGTCTTCTCTTAAATTTTCTATATTTGGTGGACTGGTAATTCAAACCATGGTTAAAGCTCAGGAGAATATATGCTTTACAAAAGTAAAATGCTCGGGTGTTCTCTTTTGATTTTTCTTCCTCATTTCTTTTCTTTCTAAAAAGGATATTCTTATTGACCTGATGGTGATGGTATTCCTCCATTTCCAGGCATGGATTACTTACATTGGAGAGAAATTGGATGCCACGCTTGCAAAATAAATGAGTAGCATTTGTCACAGACTTTGTTTAAGGTAGTTCTTTGTTTCCATTTCGGCTTTCGCAATTCAACATTATGGGACATTTTTAAAAGAATATGTGTTACTTCTCGAATATAGAAATAAGGTATTTTGTCCATTCTTTTGCATAGATTTATTTCGGTGACACGTTGATTGATCGGGCAAAAATTAACCCTTAATGGCATAAAATGGAGCTGGTTCCATTCCAACTTTTCTGGAGTGTTGAAGAAATTTAGGATGTTCTTCCTGTAAACACCAATGATAAAGCAAGATCATATAGTGCCCTTCTTTTACCTTTATACATCACTCAAATTTCCTCTTTAACTTGAATCACACTCTGTTGAGTTGCCGATGAGACCAAGTAATTAATCATATATCTTAATAGGTGTATATAACATGATATTCTTAAGGAAGATTTGATTGTATTTGGTATCTGAATATTTAACCTTGGTAAAAACCATCCAGGTTTCTAGTAGAACAAGTGACTTTTTCCCTTGAATCTTATATTCAGAGTTTTGTTAGATGCACGCTGCAAGTTCCCGTTTTTCACGACATGTGTAAACTGCAGATATCATTAGCCAAAATAATGATTAAGATCACAATACAAAGACTGGTTGTTGTTTCAGTCATGCTTTCAACGACAGTGTAATGCTTGGTATGCTTGCCTGTCTATTGTATAGATTGGATTATCTCTATGCGAGATGGACATGGGATAAATTTTGATTGACTGCAATATTTGCAACCTCTAGGGTCACATATAGATATCCTGGTCAACAACTCTACACGTGAAATATAAACTGCATGCTCTTTTGGTCTATCTTTTGAGATTCTATAATATGCTATTTTGGTTGTTTGTTTTCTCTACTTTGTGGATTTTATTCTCCCTTTGACTCTCTGAATTTGAAGGTTTTTTTGTTCTTGTTTTCAGATTTTTAGGTTCACCAGGCTGTATTTCTTGAAACTAAGGACAGAAGATATCCAGATGCAGGGCCGTACCCGTACACACTCCCATGTAATTGATAATTCAATTTTGCTCTGTTCTCTGAAAATATTTCTGTTGCATTGCTAAATGTCTGATGCTCAACATTGGAACATTCTCGAATATGCAGTTGGAAATTTCGTTTTTAAAGGAAAACATATGCCAACTTAGTATTCCCGTAAAACTTGCAATGGCATGCTTTTAGCTGTAGAGAATGTGCCTTTAGGCTGTGTATGAATACAGAGTACATCCTCTGCTTATCTATGTTGATTCGATTCTTCATTTTTGTAGGTTCTCGCATTTTACACTCATGTCCGATTTATATCCCAACATAGCTACAGGAATATCTCTCCAAATATGTTAAAAAAACTTCAAAAAGAAAAAAAATTGAACACTCTCACAAGAGACAACCGTATTTGACATTCTCATGCAAGACCTAGTGATAGAGTTGCTTATTGCTTAACTTCCAAAATTGGCAGTTCAGTTCTCCAGCTTACATGAAGTTACTAATGAACGAGCTATGCACGGTTATGTTATAGATAATTGTAACATTTTACATCATGCATTAAGTTCATCATTCCATTCCTATTAATAAAATAGAATTATGAGTTTTTCCTACTTTCTTTTATCTGAATTGTTCCCCTTAAATTCATTGAACTGTTTGAAGTAGTCTACTAGTCTAGGTAATCTTTATGTAGGAAAACATGATGTAGGATTAGCCACATTAGCAGAAATAACCATAGTAAAAATCATCAAAACCACACTCCTTAACTAGCATAGAGATGAAAGAGATGAGAAAAAATGTTATTTCATCATCACAAAATTTACAGATGTGTTAAGAACCTATAATCAATTGATCTCATTTCTAAAAAAATCAGATAAAAATGCCAAAAAATTTGGAAAGAATGTATTTTTGTTGCTGTCATTACTGTGTTTTCCGTAGGCACCAAGCTTGGAAGCAACCATATTTGATATTGTTACAGAAGAGGCTTCTCCCAGGGTAAGCTTCCAGTGGCAGGATCAGCTAAATTTGCAAGGACAAAGTCTCTCAGACCAGTGTCCCAGACTTCACAGAACTGTTTTCGCCAATTCGGTGGTTCAATGGCCTCAGTTCCAAGCCCTGGGGCTCTGTCTTTTGACCCTTGGTTTTGGTTTTCTTGCCAGTCAACAACATAAGTTGCTACCCTTCTGAAGAACTTTGCTCTAAAGATCTTCCATACCTGGTACTTGTAATGGTTTATTACGATAGAACTTTCTGGCACGTTCAGGTAACTGAATCCCTTTTTCAGCTCGAAATGGTGCACCACATTGAGAAGAGTTTCGTTAAGAAATCAGGTCGCACGATGGACTTGTGTCGCTCAGGGCTTTGGAGCCGACAAGTGTAACCTACAGTTACTCCTTGCAATGGAGGTGAGCTCAATCCAGATGGTCCAAAGCTGTGACAAGCTGTTCGTATCTCTGCAACCGTGGGTGATGATGAATAATTTGCTACTAGGGATCTTAGCAAGTTCTGACCCTGTAAACCTCTCCTGTGATGATGAGGGAAGTAGTAGAACTCGTCGACATCGAAGAATCCTACCCATTTGCACTCATTTCTTGCTCTCAAAGCGCAGTGTGAAAACCCTGCCTCTTGAGTTTTAATCCATGGCCAGGTATGTCTGCTAACATTATAGTCTTGAAAATCAAGTTCTTCAACAACTTCTTGAATTCCATCATCACTATTATTGTCATAAATGAACCAGCGTTCAACTCCAAGCCAGGCATGGTACATAATCCACTCCCGCAGTGCTGGTGCTTGGTTCCAGAGCATAGTGCAGGCACAGAGCTCAAATTTCCCCTGGTTCCGTTTTGTCTGGTAGGACGTCGGATTGTATAGTTTAGCCACAGAAGGCATAGCTACATTTTCCTTATGCCTTCTCTGATTCCCACCGTGCTCATAGGATCTGGAATTGCGAAATCTAACTGCCGATGGCATTGGGTCATGCACGATAGTAACTCGAATTCCCTGAGCGGAATCCGGATTATTTCTTATACTCCTCGGCAGTGAACACCTAACAACCTCTTGAGCAGCCACTATTGCTTCAGTCATTACCACAAACCCTCTATCTGCTTTATCATCCCAACTCTTCAACCCAAATTGGCACATGAACCTAGTAGGATCGGATTCTTTATGCGGTCGAAGATTCAACCCTTTAGCGAAAACAACCGCAGTTTTACCATCAAATGCGGCTTCATAAACCAATCTGTCCCATGAATGAACCGACTGGTTACTCCTGAATGACCAACTATAATCATCAACCTCATCTCCTCTCCACATCAAACCCGCGGCAGCTGTGTAATTCCAAGGTGGAATAGGGCACCTAACAACCAATCGAAACCCATCGAATTCATCAACAGACAAAACCCTTTGACGAACCACATCCTTGTCATTCAAAACCTTGTGGTAAACACAGTCCAACTTATCGTCCTCATGGATCTTGTCGGATACAAGCAAGAGCAAGTGATCGGGGAACAAAACTCGGTTGTCAACTCTCAAAGGCAACCGTAGTTTACCATGAAAAGAATCTTGAAAGGAAGTTTTGGACAGGATTGAAATGCTTGGGACGGTGAGAACGGGGTGGAAATACACCGTTCGGATTGGGAACCTTTCGGAGGACAAGAAAATGAGGAAAGAGAACAAAGAAAGGCACAATATGAACGACCTGAGAGACAAAAACTGAGCTCGGGAGTACGGCCTGTACGTTCTCTTCCGCTTCAAACGCTGCTCCGACTCCATTATCTTTTGAGAATCCAAATCCAAGAAAGAAAGAAATAGAAAAAAGAGAGATCTGGGTAATGAAGGAGTTGAATTCTTGAGGGAGTTCAGATCTGGAGGGCTTGAAGCAGTGGAGATACGCGTTAATGGCAGCCGTCCAAGTACAGAGCGAAGGTGCAGTGGAGAGAGAGAAGTAATCTTTTTCTTCTTCTTCCTCTTTTTTTTTTCCCTTTACTTTTTGGTTTCTTATTTTCAGCATACAGTTTATAACTTAATTTATTTATTTATTGGTCTTTAGATAGTGGACAGGTGGATATGCTCAATCATTAATGTTCAAAGGTCATGTACTGTGTTGGACTTCCTTTTCTTTTTCTTTTCAAATTTTATAGATTTGTTTAATTGGTGTTTATAAATTAATTTGGTTAATTATTAATATTTTTAAAAAACCATTTAAAATTTTAAAAAAAAAATATTAATTGAGAATTTTTATAAATATCATTTTGCGACGGAAACCTTTAACATTATATGAAATGTAAGAATGTGTAAAAATTAATAAAGCCATATAAAAACATATGAATAATATGTGAAAATAAATTATTATGATATAAATACCTCAATGACTTAGTGTACGAAATTTTTTATTAATGTATACTTGCCAACAGTTTTGCCCTATTTAAAAATTACGGAAATAATATATTGAATGTAAAATAATTTTTAATATGCATCCATAATAGACAAAATCAACGAGATAATGCGTTGAATTTTTTTTTCACGAGATAGTGCCCTCGCCAGATTAATTGCTTAGATAGAGTGATCTCTACAGTCCCTGGGGTAGGTCGCCATGCACGCCCAGCGATCTATCAGGTCGCCATGCATGCCCCAACACGCTGGGCATCCGAGGCCATCCGACCGAGGCCACCCGAACGAGCTATGCGAGGGCATCTGAGCAAGCTATGCGAGGGAATCCGAGGGCAACCGAGCGAGGGTAGGTCGCCCGGAGTACATGGCGACCTACAAGGTCGCTCGGTTGCCCTCGAATGCCATCGCATAGCTCGTTCGGATGCCCTCACATAGCTCGTTCGGATGGCATCGGATGCTCTCGGATGGCATCGGATGCTTTCGGATGGCCTCGGTCGGATGGCCTCGGTCGGATGGCCTCGGATGCCCAGCATGTTGGGACGTGCATGGCGACCTACAACAACGTTTCACGCTGGACATTCCAATACAAATGCTAGACTTCATAATTAATTTTTTTTCTCTAAATTCAATAATAAATTTCTATATATACACACAACTATGTTAATCTTAAAAATTAAATAGAGAAACAAAGATGCCTAAAGGTATATTATAAATAAATGTAAATAAAATACAATAATAGACTAAAAATGCTTTAAAAATTGAATCTGAAAACACCACACTATTTGATTGCATGGCGACCTACTTTGCAAAACACCCCACAGGTCGCTCGGATGCCATGGCGACCTCCAAGGTCGCCCGGATGCCATGGCGACCTCCAAGGTCGCTCGGATGCCATGACGACCTCCAAGCTCACTGTAGAATTCACCACATTTCAACAATTAATCTGGGATGTGCATTATCTCGTGAATAAAAAAGTTCGAGAACATTATCTCGTGAATTCACCCCATAATATATACTTGTTTTATGTTGTGCATGGCTGCATGCGTAATCTTTTGATTTGGAACGTTAAGATAAATGTTGTACTACATATATTTTATTTAAATTATTCTCATTCTCTTCTAGGAAAATTTATGATGCAATTAAAGACTGACGTTTCTTTTTTAACAAAATTAAAGTGTTTAGAGGGTAATTATTATAATAAATCCAATGGGACAGTTAACGATATACAAACAAAAAATTATTTATGAGATGAAAAGGGCTAAGTATACCATCAATTTTTGTTTCATCGGTAACTACACTTATAATTTTAAGCATTAAATGTATGTATGTATGTTGTTTAGGTACATGAATGGACCAAGAGAGGATGAGAACAATTGTCTTTCTTGAAAATTTATTTATTTTTATAAATTTTAGATATTTTATTGTATTTTTAATTAATAATTTATTATTGTTTGTCTAAGATTTATTTTATTGTATTTTTGTTTGTCAGACAAAGCTTTGCTCACACCATACACGCATTTAGTTTCATTTGTCTTATTTTATTATTATTATTATTAAAAATATATTATTAGTTTCTTGCTTTAGGTTAGTTCCGAAGTTCCTTTCATTTCACTCGTTCTGATGCTTTAGGGCAAATTATTTCTCCATAAATCTTGAGAGATTAGGGATTAATGTTTTTTATATTACAAGTAATTATTAAACCTAAGGCTTAATTCGATCAATTTACCCACATAGTATAATAGTAATATTATTAAATTTGATGATTATTTTCTAAAAATATTTGTTCATGCATAAAATTATAAAAGAAACAATCCTAGAATGAATCTATTTTGCAACCTTATTTTATTATTCTAATGGCCAAGTAGATAGAGATAGACAGGTGGTCCGGTTGAACAATAAGAGTAGCCAATCCCGGGACCTAACATTCCAGAAAAAAACACAGAAGATTTCATCTTTTTATATCTCAATTTGTTTGTCTTTTACTTTTAACTCAACCAACAACCTGCCATGTGCTGCAAATTGTCCTTTAACCTCATCTCCTTTGCTTCAACTTGAATCTAACTCCTTAATATATAAATTCTAATGACCTTTTTATATATTTTCCCCTTAAAGTTTGGGAAGTAATGACATAAGATTAATGCAAATTTCTTCAATAAAAATTGATTTTATATTCATGTGGTGGGGGGGGGGGACTAAGGGTCCAGCGAAGTCCTAGGGTTTCTTCCTTTCTAACATTTGTTTATTGTTTGAAAAAAGACTAAGAATTTTGTGAATTGGCTTTTCCACTACTCTTTTATTCCTTTGGTAGTAATGGGAGTAAAATAGGAGATCATATGAAAAATGTAACCGATTCTTTCGTTTACTTGGGTCACTGGCCATCCGCTAGGAGTTTCGGGGTTAATACCGATATTTTAGCAACAAATCCAATAAATCTAAACGTAGTCCTTGGTGTATTGATCTTTTTTGGAAAGGGAGTGTGTGCGAGTTGTTTATTTCAAGAATAGGTTGGATTCATCAAGTTGTACATTTTTCCCATTATAACTAGGAAAGCAGAGAGTGCATGATCCCGTGAATGACTTCTGAATAAATTTTTAAAATCATATTTAAGAACCGTAGCATTTAGTGATTCATCGGTACATCGACTTTGATTCTCTATTAACCAATAATTTAGGACCATTAACATGGTTAAGGCCAAACCGTTTGAAGTTCGGATGCAGCAGGGTACTCTTTCTACTATTTACTAAATACAAAAATATTTTCAAAACAAAAATATTTTTTCGGTATAAAACACTCATGTCGATAAAACGATTTGAGCCCCCTTTTCCACCTCAAAGTTGTTATGCCTCTCCATATTAAACAATTAATGAGTGTTTGAATAAAATAATATGTGTTATTCCAAATATTAGAAGGAAATATTTTCTTCCTAGAGGTCCTAGAATCGAACACATACTTTCGTAGGGTGTGTGTGCATTGTTAATAAGTTAAGAAAGTTCTGAACATATATTACCTTATAATCACTCAAGACATGTCATTAACTGGAACAAATTATAAACTTTCAATTTAAATCGACCCCGATAAATTTAATTATAATATTCAGTCAATGAAATTATAGATTAAAATAAGATTATCTCTATAAAAATAATAGAAAATACAGAAGAAATTAAATAATTTCTGATAAAATGGGTATATGTTCTTCATTTGAATAACAATACACAAGAGGGGAGAAAAACAATACATACATACTTATACCATTATATTTGTATTATTAGGTAGGGTAAGGCTAGGGGTGCTTGAAATGTGAATAAAGAACATTGGAAATGGTTAGGATTAGCTTGGTTCTTCTCACGCCAAATTTGTCCAATTGGTGCTTTAATTGTCGTTAAATAAATCCAAGATGTGATGAGAAATTTCCCCTTTTGTTTTCTTTATTTTTCTTAAGAAAAACTAAACTAAACAAAGAAAAGGGGGGGGGGGCATTTATTGAGAACCAATAATAGTAGTGGCTTCTTTTAAGAGAGACTGAATAATACTTGCAATTATTTTTGAATTATCTTCTACACACTTGTACGTAGAGTTGGGGAATTATTCCCTAAATTATGTTATATACTCATCATTTTTTATTTGGATAAATTATCCTATCGATCATTAAATTATTAGGTCAGATTTTATTTTATCGTTCAATAAAAATTATTAAACTTTTAATTTAATTCTAACTAAATTATCCACTGTTAATTGTTAATAAAGTTGGTGATGTACCGGTCGAGTAACTTTGTTTAACAACAATTTTGATCTTCATTACTTGCACTGCTTATCAACTCGGTCTTGATTTTAATTGTAAATAATTTAATAAATCTAATCCTCCAATAAGATGACGACTCTTTATTGTACAAATTGATAGAATATGTAAGTAATAAGGACCAAATGTGTTATTATACAAATTTTTAATTGAAACCAAAATGATTCAATAAATTTTATTGTCTAATAAAATGGTGGCACACTATTATACAAATTAATGGAGTATCTAAGTAATAAGGATTAAATATGTCAAGAATTTCGTTAACAGTTAACAATTAGTAATTTGATTGAAACCAAATTAAAATTGTAGTGATCTAACAGATAATTCTTTAATTCAATAGTCAAAATAGAATCAATCTTATAATTTCATGACCAATAAAATAATTTACTCTTTTTTATTTTATGATTTAAAGTTTAAGACTACAAGTAGGGAAATATATAAACAGAATTTCGATTTTAGAAAAATTTCATTTTATTATTTGAAGAATAGAAGAAATAAATCAAATTTTATGTTGCCGTTTTTATATTTATATAACTAAATTAAGACAATTTTCTTATTTTGATTATAAAATATTATTTTAGTTAAACCAGTTAAGAAAACCTTACATCCTTTAGAGAAAGTCGAGAAGGGGAGGGTAATGTTTTTTTTTTTTTTTGCTTAATATAAAAAGAAATGTCTAAACTATAAATTTTATTTATTTATTTAGGCTTTTAAATATTTATTAATTCATGTGTCTAACATTAAAAATATTATAATTTTAAGTATCTCGATCATAACAAACATCAATAAAATCCGTTAAACGAAACATGTCACGTTTATATTTTTTGAAAAATCTATTTTTTATTCTTTTTAAAAAACATTATTTTTGAAAAACTCCCCCTCTCTCACACATCATCTTCTCTCCTTCCTTCTTCCTCTGTCACTGATTAAGATTGCATATTCTGAACGCAATGTGAATTAACAGGGATGATGTCGGGACCTGTCTAACCCCCGCATGTGAACCCCCACCTCCGTATTTCGTATATGAACACCGATGAATAGATTTCTTAGTCTAATTGCGATTTCAAATTTTAGGGTTTTGATTTAGTGATTTGGATATTAAGATTTATGGATTTCGACTCAATGTTGGGGCAGAAGTAAGGAGTTTGGCTAGTGGGGTTTTTTTTTTGTCAGTGTTGGATTGATTGAAGGATTGGTGGAGGCCGACGAAGGTAAGGGGACTGAAATTAGAGATTTTAGGAATTTTATGTTTGTTTTATAGTTTTATAAAAATTTAAGGGTTTTTTTTAAAATATAATTTTAAGTTTTTATTTTAAATAAAAATTTCAAAATTATATAAATATGACATGTATCACTTAACGGATTTTATTAGCGTTCATTACAAACGAAACACTTAAAATGATAACGTTTGTAATATTAAACACTTAAATTAATCGAAAAAGTTTAAACACTAAGGGTTTGTTTGTTTCACTGAAAATATTTTATAGAAAATGAAATCTGGAAAATGTTTTAATTCCGTAAAATGTTTTACAGAAATGTAAAACATTTTTCAGAAAACATTTTCTAGTGTTTAGATGGTTCATTGTAAAATGTTTTATAATGTTTGGATAATTTTCCTGAAAACTGTTTTCAGAATCTGTTTTTAATGAAGAAGCAAACATATTCGATATGTTTTTATTCTTTATTATTTTTAAAGGTTCATTTTTTATATATAATTATATTTTATAAAGATATGTATTTTTATAAGTACGACAAACTAAACTTTTAGATAATATTAATAATTTATGTTGATTGTGTTATAAATACACTATTTTAGGTTTAAAATCTTCATGATGCTTATTCATTCGCATTCATTTCAACGTATAATTAATATTATGTAGGTTTATTTGATATAATATTAATAATTTATTGAAAATATATTATAAAAGTTTATAAATATTATGTAGGTTTAATTAATAATACACTACATTAAAACAACAATAGCACATAACTTCTCAAAAATATTATAAGAATTATTTCAGAATATAAAAAATTTCTCAAAAACAACAAATAAATGTCTTAAAAAGAACAAAAAATGTACTGAACATTTCATTAACCAATCATCACATTCAAGATCCAACATCACAACACAGGATCTATATTTTGCAAGAGTCTCCAAAATTACAACTCTCCTTCCAAATGATGGACCACTAGTATCGCTCAATCCATTGAAAGTTCCAACAATCAAGCTAAAAATATCCTGAAAGCATGCCACAAATCAATCACCAGAAGTTCAGTTGAAAATTTATTACTTTCTAAGAAAATTAAGACCAAAAACAATAAACCTTCATGAAAGAAAAAGCACCTTTAGAATATCATCACTATAAGGCGCTTCAGGCGCAATTATCCGAGTTATCTCACAAATACAGGTTGCAACTAGAAGTTTGGCTTCCCGATCTTGATGATTCAGTAGTTCTGGCTATACAATTGCATTATGAAGAGGCTGCATTGATTCCACTATTGATGATGGTGGAGACTGGTCAATCTCAGAGAGACATGTAGCAGCTTGCTGCGGATTAGACGAAAAACATTCCTGATATATGGAAAATAACCAAATTAAAAGATTGCAGCTGATTTTGATACACATAATATATATGAATTCACAAGTTCAATCATCCAACAAGATGTTTTAAGGATAAAACCCACAAGCTAACAGAAGGTAGAAATTTAATTAATGCAGTCAATTGAACTAATTCCAAATCTAGGTTGACTTCTTTTCAAGGTTGATTATGTTTCACCACAATACCCCTTAAAGCCCTTTGCAAACCATGATGACAATTCCAAACTAAGGCCAGACCCACAATACACATTTTTTGCCTTATTACACAGGACGAGTGATTGGTGGTGTAATCCATGAAAGGTACCAAAACCAAAGATTTACGGCATACTTATGTTCTTGAAGTATGGAGGTTATCGATCATTAAAATTGTAGGGGGGCAGTCAAACACAGTCCAGGTCCCGAGGCTTGCACATTGCAGCTTGTTTAGGTCCTGGTTCATTGCCTAGAACCATAATGTTTGAAGATACAACTACTGGGACAAGAACAATAGAACATTCTAATACGGTAACTAATAGCTTGAATTAACTCAAAAGAACGGTTGACCCAAATATCATGTCATGTAGCAAATTAAGGGCATACAATACAAGTGGAAACTCAAGTTGGCAGGAAGTATGAGTGGGGGTAGCATACCACAACAAATACTAATAGACTCACTCAACCGATGCATTCACCCCGCCAGGTCAATTTTTCATCAAAAACAAGTGTTTCATCAAACAAGTTCATTAAGAAAAGGGTCTGGCCGTAGAAGAACCTTAACGAAAAACAAAAAAAAAAAATCAGCATAAATCATATCAATAAGATCAAATGCCCAAGAAATAAAAACGAACATAAATAACGAAATTACAGCAAATCAAAACCACCAAACATATATACTAAGAGGGGGAAAAGCTAAACAGAATTCAAAAGCGAATAATAACCTTGATGATTAAGCAAAAGCCTAAAAAATGTTCTTCAATTTGTTGAATTACCATGATTAGGAGAAACTTTGTGAATTATGGGAACAACCCTAATTCAACCAATTAGGAACGAACTTTAGCTAAGCAATCTAAAGTTCAGTGGAGAAGTAATAAAGTTGAAGAATGCGTGCCTTTAACAGCTTGAGAATGGCGTCCTTCGCGGATGGAGGAGATTCCAACTTGGATCCCAGCTCCTTGAGCTGCTCTTCCAGCTTCTCGGCCATTTGCTATCAGCAATTTCTGTTCGCAAGGCAAAGCAGCAGCAGCTTCGTCTTCTGCTCACTCTCGCTGTGTAGCTTTCAGATCAGTTGAATGAGTCGTGGACTCGATAAGATGAGAGATAGAAAGCAAAGAGGGAAAAAGGGGAAGAATGCCACTGGATCGATCGAAATTCGGCGAGGAGCGAGGGAAGGAAAATGACTTACCCTTTTTATATTAAACCTTTTTCTTATGTGAGTAAACAAAATTTATGAATATTTATTCGAAATCGGTTATATATTTAAGTATGTTATACAATGAAAATAATGACTTGAATTCTTTAGAGGAAATCGCGGATGAAAGGATAGTGATATTTTCTTTTTAATAAATATGTTCATTATCTTCTAATTTTTTAAAAAGTTTTAAGAACATTTTTTAATAATTTATTTTAATTATAAGATTTAATTATGAGATAGTATTTGTTTAAAAAATATATAATAATTGACAACACATTTGCCTACAAATACAGTTGTTTAAATTCAGGATTTTGAAGAAAAATAAAAAAAATATCACTAAAATCATTTGATGAATTCGCTTAAAAAATATTTAATTGAAAAAATACGTTTTATAAATTATGTATACCTTATTATAAATTATATTGTATGTTGAATTGTTATGTAATTTATAAATCATGTGTAATCCATTGATAATTTTCTTATGGAAGTACAAAAACTTAGGAAGTTTTAGTAAACAATTTGTAAATTAAGTGGTTAAAAATTCTAAGAGTTTCCGTTGATATTTCTTAGTTATAGATTCAATACCTATTACGAGTAAAAAAAAATTAAAATATTCCATGTAGTAAGGAATATTGTATAAGCTTTCCACTAAGAATGTATTGGAAAGTAGTCCTAAAAGAATGGTCTGCTTTCAAACACAACGCCATCTTTTATAATTAAGAATGCTCAATATTTTAATTTGATCACTGATCAAATCAAATTCTTATTAATTGATTTAATTAATTTTTTAACTGTTAATCGAACTGATTTTTTATAAAAAAAATATCAATCGAATTGAACAAAGTTTGATTAATTCAACAGGTAAAATTAAATTTTTATATATTTTTTGAATTAATTAAATTTTTCTTTAACTGTTAACCGAATTGATTTTTAAAAAAAATATCAATCAAATTGAACAAATTTCGATTAATTCAACCGGTAAAACTAAATATATATATATATATATATATATATATATATTATTTTTAGATAAATTAATTTAAATTTGATAGAGGTTTTTTTATTTAGATTAAATTTTAATTAGATTTTGATAATTGAATGAATTTAATGTGGTTATTCTTAATAAATTTGAACTTAAAATATGTATTTAATATATATATATATATATATATATATATATAATATTTAATATTTAATATCTTCAATAATTTGATTACTTTATTAATTTTAAACTGAATTAACCGTTAATTGGATTTGAAAAAATAATTATACTCGGACCGAACTAATTTGATAAACGACCGTCTTAATCAAACTAACTCAGTTCAATCGATTAATTCAATTTAAATGGAAGAGCGAACACCCTATCTATAATCTTGTTTTTCAAGTTTAAAATTTATAATATATTTGTAAAGCAATGATATATTATTATAGCTTCATTTCCACTTCTCCTGCCACTGCTTTGCAAATTTAGAAAGATGTCAATGACCAAATTTCGCCGCAGTTGTTAATTCATTTTCACATCTTTTGATTGAATTACTTTTACTTCTTTAATTTACTTTGCTTTTTCAAAAAAGAAAAGAAGAGAATACTTTTCTTTTTCCCTATTAGTATTCAATGTACATAGACGGAACCTCTATAGGTCTATTGCTAAACTTTAAGGCCAGTAGAGGAGGAATCTGTTGAATACAACATATTTGCAAATCCTTCAAACCCAAAAATCAACCGGCTTGATATTAACTAAAAAATAATCGATTTGATATTGATCTGATCTAAAATTTACTCGACCTGATACTCAACCCATCTTGACAGACCATAGACTTGAACCAAGTCCAAACCAGAAATGACCGACCCAAACAGAACACAACCTGAATCAAGTTTAAACTCTAAGGGGGTGTTTGGTTCAAGTATTGTGAGATTCCCATGGGATGGGAATCCCACATTCCCATGTTTGGTTGACCGGGAATCTCATTCCCGGTAATGTTTTATTACCAATAGTAAATTTTTTGGGGTATATTACCGGGAATGTCATTACCTCCATTCCCTTAGGTATTGTAACATTACCAGCGTTTTGGACTAAAATGCCCTTAATTTTTTTTTTTTTCAAAAATATCCTTCTTCTGTCATTGAATAATAAAAATTATACGAAGGTTAAATTACAAATTTATACTTAAATTATTTTAGATTTACAAAAAAAAAATTTATAATTAAAATTTTATATGAAGTTCAGGGGTTAAATTTTTTTTTACCATTTCATTAAACCTTTTTTATATTTTTAATTTTGTAAAAAATTATATAAATATTATGAATTTAATTTTTTAAAGAAAAATATATAAATATTTTACAATTTGTAATATTATATAAATATATAATAAGGACAATTTGGTCAAATATATATTCCAATAATCTTTTATTCCTTTAACCAAACACGGTAATCTTACATTCCTGCTAAACCAACCAAACACAAAATACAACATTCCCAGTAATCTTATTCCCTGGTAATCTTTTATTCCCACTGGTAATCTTACATTCCGTGAACCAAACGCACCCTAAGTGACCCGATCCAAATTACCCGAGGCTGAATACACCATATTTGCAAGTCCTTGCTCTAATACTGCAGTTAAATATCCCATACATGCAACTCTGGTCGACACTTTACAGTAATCGACTCCAGTAAAAGAAGCATTCTAAACAGTCATGAACTATATAGCAAATCTAAGAGCAGATATTGACCCGAAAAGAGAATAGATTTATAATAAATTACATACAAGGCAATTTACAATGGAATTACATTATCTGCTTCTAAGGTTCATTGGTGCAGTGCAACGAATCAAGGTCGTCCCATCAGGACCACTAGTCTTGCCAAACTGAACCCTTTCATCACTTCGAATGGTATTCTTTGATAATCTACTTGAGAAAAACCCTGAATTCTCGGTCGTGTCAGTGCAACCACCCGCCGCTCGATTCATTATAAATCCACCACTATCTTGATGCCGATGTCTGTGGCTGACTACTGCTGGCTTATATATTTCAGCACCAGAATCGGCAGAAAACCTTGAAGTGGAAAATCGACCTTCAGTTTTCCTCCAGAACTTGGGACTCAAAAATTCTGTACCAGGCATCTTGCAACACGTGTTATCTGCAGAATCCATGTTTGGAATCCTTCCGCCTGAAACAGCCAAGTCATATGATATTTCATCCAGAGCCATCTCCAGGCCATTCACACGTGTCTCTAGAGAATTGATCCCACTTTGGGAGCTCCCAATGAATTTCTATAACCAAAAACATTCCATGGTAAGTGCAAAACTAAAGAAAGAGAAAGAGGATGTTCAGGTTCAGAAAACTACCTGGAGGAGGTTTAATAGATCGGATTGCTGGTCTTCAATCTGAGCAAGCTGTTGACGTATCAAACTCAGATCCTCAACCTCTTTGGGGTTCTCCTCAACTTCTATAGCTGCATTTTCGTCATCAACATCTAAATTCTCATCAAGAAAAGGAACCACCCGAGAACCAGATTTCAAACCTTCACATTTCTCATATTTTTCACCATGGGCCTTAGCAAAGAGTTCGCGTTTAGTTTCCGGGACACCAAGGTCACTGTGTTTGATATTATCATAGGCCTTAAAAAACAGAGACTTCCTCGGCTTAGCAATTTCAGTCTTCAAATCAGAGGGTTTTGTGCGATTCAACCCACTGAAAGTCGATGTGTTAGTCTCTTTCATGGCAGTGGGATCAGTTGAAGCATCGGATGGAGGCGACCTGCCAGTGGGGACTACTTTCTTTGATTGGGGAGTTCTAAAATCAGCGCCATCTACACTTTTTGAAACTGAAGGAAAGCATCTAAGGCTACCATTATCTGTTTCTACGAGCAATGCACATAAGCATGAAAATGGTCAAGAAAATGTTGCAGCAGTAGTTACCAAGCATAAAATTTACAACACAATATTAGTAACAATTGATATTTCCAAAATTTTGAACTAAAAACAGTGTAAACATATTTGAGCATTCCCATCGAAGAAGTATCCTATATTACTCGGACTCGCATGTTACTGTCAAATACGAATGTGTCCCCCACAGGTAAATTCAATTCTTTTCAAACTGTTTAATGTATACGGAGGCTTCTTGGGTTAAATCTACATATCCATGTAGGGATTCAAGAAAATGAAGAGTCAAGCAACAATATAGATCAAAGTTTCTGGGTTAGGACATTAACTTCCAAATATCATGAAATTAACACAAATAGAACGACCTAAATGGTTAAGCGATTGTTATTATTCCTTAAAATCTGGGTGTATGAGCGTTCATTGTTAAATGATTGACTATTTGAACAAATACCTAATGAAGATGATTCATACGGAGAAGGAATTGAACCATCCTCGGAAATTCCAGTAACTTCCCTCCATAAATCCAAACTGCGATTCATAGTTTCTCGGACGATCTTTACCTGTACAACCAAAATGTCACAATATGTTAAATTGCTAAGCACTTTCTTTTATATTTCCCCCCTTTTTATCTATTTTTCTTGTCAGAAAATATATTTATTAATAAAAATTTGGAGTAAGTTATACAATTAATCACTCAATTTTAAAAGTTTCGAAAATAAAAATTTTGTAAATAAATAATCAAAGTAATATTTTGTTTTCATTTTAACGACCTATAATTAATATCTATTAATAGTGACTATCATCATCCATTTGATTATTTTAAAAAATTCAAATTAAAAAACTTAATATCCCAACTCAAATCCTTCCAAAATTTTACAAAATCACGTCATTAATGAATTACTAACAAAAATTAATCATAAATGACTAAAATAAAAATAAATTTTAATATTTTTCTTGTTCGATTATTAAGTAAAAAAAAAACCAGATATTTACCGAGTAAACGATACACATACCTTATCAAACCTCCTATTTTCGAGAGCCGCCACACATGCCGATTTAAACTCCATTGTCAGCTCTTTCTCCGCCCTCACTATTTTCCCTAACGCCTCCGCTGCCGCCTTTCTCGTCGCCCAATCTCCGCTACTCAAAGCATCCACCACACAAGGCACTAACCAATCCAAAACACCTTTACTTCCGGCACCGCCAACACTAGCGACGCTTCCTATAACTCCTAACACCGCTGCTTTTGCCTTGAAACTTTCGTTCCTCACTAACTTCCCCAACTTCGGCAACGCCTTCCTAAGGTGCTCTGTCTCAGGATCCGGCGACGCCTCAATCGCCGCCGCCAAACACATGGCGGCTCCGACCTGCGAGTTCGCGTCTTGCTCCACAACCAGCATTTCGATCAACGGCTTCGACAAAACCGAAAACGGAGGTTTCGTGATGTGAGACGACATGGCGGCGCTCGCCTCAACACAGGCGGACCGGACGGAGGAGCCGAGGTCTCGGAGGCGGCGGGAAAGCGTGGAAACCATCTTAGAGAGGTAAGGAGACAGTGCGTTACCGTACGAACGAGACAACAACGCCAAAAGGCTAACGCATTGTCTCCTAACCGGAGACTTGGTCGAAGAATCGGTGTTGTGGAGGCAGTTAAGAAACGGAGCGATGGAGTCAACGGTTAGGTTCCGAGCGATGTACTCGAGCTCCGCGGAAGCTACGGCGAGAGTGTCACGGTCGGCGAGTTTGTTAAGACAAGTACAAACGCGTTGTTTGAAATCCTGCGGCTGCGTTTGGGGAGTCGCCAGAGTTCGGTTCTTGAAAGACATTGCTGTTTTAGCGTTGCGTTATGATTTTTGCGATGTATTTTTCAGATATAATACTTGAATTTGAGAGCAAAAAAGCGGTGAAATTTGGTGGTTTTTGGAAATGGCGGCAGCGGAGGGGAAGCTATGGTTGTCTGTAATTGTACTCATCATCACAATAATAAATGAAGTTTGCAGGAGGACTTTAAATGTTGAGGTATTTTTTCATCCATTATTACAATTTTTCTAATATTTTAATATAGTTTATTTTTGTATATTCTGTTTTTAATCTAAATTAAATTTATTTACATTTACAAATAATTTTTTTAATTAAAATTATATAAATAACCTTATTTTTTTAGTGAAATCGCATCTTGAATTTATTTTTACAACTTTTTACAAAAATATATAAATTATTATTTTTGCACGTGGTATAAATATTGATTCCCTTTAAGAATTAAGTTTTGTAATGAACATATAATTTTGAGAAAAAAATTATCAATTTTATTGAGTTGGTGTAACTTAATTAAAAGTCTTGAAATGTAATTTTTATTTTTTTTATAAAATTATTTAATAGAAACAATTTTATTTAAAATCTAATTATAAAAATACATTATATCAATATAAAATTACAATTATTTCATTAAAATTATGATATCCATTGTCGATGATAATGATTATTTTTTATTAATACTTTTAGAAAGGAAATAATTGAATGTGAAATGTGTTCTGTTTTTATAAATAAAGATCAAATTTATGATCATATGACTAAAGATGAGGTGAACAACTAAGGATTAAAAACACATTTTTTACATTAAATTGAGCTTTCCAATTTGTATATCAAAATTTATATTTAATATTTAAGTACTATATGTGATTTCAACGTTAAAAAATGGTACTATATTTGCAGGGTGTTTGCGTTATCAATCAGTTTAAAAATTATGAATATATTATCTTTAATTATTCTAGATTGTTCAAAAAAATTAAGTAATAATGACAATGAAAACATATAATCTTATAAAATAACTTACTTAAACCTAAAATTTTTAAGAAAAATAATACTATATTTTATCGTTAAAATTATTCAATAACTTTAACATAAATTAACCACCTAAAAGTCTTTGTGTTACGCCGTTAAAAACAAATAAATTAAAGTGATCACGTGCCTACAAAAATCCATTGCATTGATATTGTGCACTCAATTCAACGACTCAATAATTCAAGAATTAATAAAGAGGGAACTTAGGAGTCACGTGGCCGCTGATTAGAGGCCACATGAAAAACTAATTGAGTGAAGAATATACCAATTGTAAATATTTCAACTCTTTCCTAAATTCTTGACACATATTCATCCACATTATTTGTATAAACTTATATAGATCAAATTGTGACTTAAAAGAAATTAAGATGAAAAATTTACTGTAATGCATTAAAGATAATAAAAGTAATTTTACTTAAATATCGGAGTAAGTAAAAGTTTTTGTTCATTTAAAGTTCAGTAAATTTTTTAAAAAAACTAAAATCTTTATTATAATATCCAATAGAAGTCGTTAAAATTATTCAACGACTTTTAAAAATGACCAAGATAAAACTATACAACCCCATACTAATTTCAAATAACATAGAAAAATAAAATTTCAAATAAAAAAAATCGTGTGATTCTGACAATTTACGTCTGCTGCCATAACAAAAATTTTAATTTTAAAAATAATTTCTATTACGTCTTGTATAAACATTTTTTTCTGTTTAGTGTACATATAGTTTCGCCAATATTAAAACGTATTATGTATTATATTTATTTATCTAAAATTATGAAATGTCAGGGCATCCTTTTATCTATACAGAGAAGTGGTGACCGTCGTCATGAGGAAAATAAATTGTTGAAAATGACGATATGAAGTTTTGAACAGCCAATCACGTGATATCGAAGATAGGCTTATCCAATGCACTAAATTTAGAGAGCCTTTTGCCGCTATTGTCTTCAAGTTGATAAGCACGCCTTTCAAAATTTGCCTTGCTTCGGTCAGGTTGTAAAATTATTTTGAATTCAAAAACTTGTTCCAAAATTTTAAATATATCATTTTTAATTTCATAAAATGTAACATTTTAAGAAAGTATATATAAAATAGTTTGAATTTTAAAAAAAATTCAAATTGAATTATATTTTTTTTATTAATTTGAAGTAAGTATAAAATATTATTTGTTTAAAGATAACTTTCAATCATTTGATATTGAATGCTCACACTCTTAATATTCAGAGTGTTTAAACTCGAGACCTCGAGGAACAATAATTCAATTACCACCATAGTCTTATGATACTCACAAAGTGCAATGAATTTTGTCTGATCATAAATTGAGTTTCAAAAATTATACGTTCGAGCTTATTTTATTCAAAGAAAAAAAATCTCCTCTAACTATAAAAGATGAAACCTTTGATATGAAATGCTTTTGCAACTTGAGGAGATATGATTTAGATATAATATATACTCCTTATTTGGGATAATAATATAATTCATGTATTTAGAGATAAATATTATTATGTCTATCTTTTTTTTATATTTTTTAATTATATTTATATTTTATTGATTAAAAATATTTTTTCATATTTAGATCAATAAAGTGTGAGCTTATATTATATTTTTTTAATTAGATATAATACTCAAATTCGATTCTAATTGACTCAAACCATTGCTATCTATATTTCTATCGCATAATTTGATAGGTTTAATTAATGATGGTGAAGATAAGTTTAAATCTTCAATTGCATTACAAAAATAAAATTTAAATATTAATTTAAACAAAAAATATTAATTATAATCTTATTTAAGTTGAGTGTCAGTTCAAAATAAATAATACAATAAATAATATGTATCTGTTATGAATCGTACACGTCATATCCATTCCAAAAAAAATAGAAAATCCAAAACTCATAATTCAGGTTAGGCATATTATCGCGAGTAAAGTTATTTATAAGATCATTGCCAGAGAACTTGTAATAATTTTAGTTAAACAATTCCATTTTTATATCATTATCATTTTCTAATAAAGATTATTCCTTTCGATAATTAGCAGAAGGAAAGGAAGGAAAAGTGTTTCCAAACAGAGGTGCGTGGGGTAATTTTCACTTAAAAATTTAAAATTATTATATTTCTTATTTAATTATATATTTTTATTGAAAATATATTTTAATACTCTTAAAATTTTGTAAATTATTATATTTTAAAAATTTTAAAAATGTATCTTCTGATATAAAATCATGTGTCACTGACAAATGTTTTGAAAAGTTGATTTAAGACAATGGCTTGTATAATTAAATTTTATTATTTTAAAATATATTAAAACTGAACCAATCTATTTCGTAGAAGCCTCGAGAAAGTGTCACGTAAAAATATGATATATTAATTTAATGTGTTTAATATTAAGGTTAAAAAATACACTGAAACATTAAAATGTTCATTTTGAACATTATATTAAAAAAAAAAAAATTAAACGGAGTAGTTTAATAAATGTATATCATGAAAAGTTCAATTTTTATTTCTTAAAAACTTGATTTGAAAATTATTTGTATTTCGAAATATATTTTTATTATCGTTCTTTATTAATTTTACTATTAAAAATGCTTTCAATTCTAAATACCCTGAAAAGCGATAGGGAACTAATCGTTAAACAGGTCTATTTCCATGCCAACAAAAATGGTAAAAGAAAATGAAATGCACGTGATGGTGAATGGCCAATCACGTGAAACTGAGGATAGGGTTATTCATTCAACTAAATCTACATGCCCCCTTTTCTACTCTTTTTATTTGATAAATTTAGAGAGTTAATTTATTTTAAATAACAATGATAAATTAAATTATTTAATAAACTTAATTAAAATTATCTCCAAATATTGACGATTTAGTAAAATAAATACGAGTAATAATCTTTTCAAAAAAATAATAAAATAGATGTTTTTTTTTAAATTTACGCATTGACAAAATGACTTATCGTCATTTTCGTCTTAAAAAAAACTCTGTTTTTATCTTTGAATTTGAATTTTTGAAATTTATTAATAATTTTAGATATGGCTTTTCTTTTTAATTTATCAAACTTAAACAATTAATTTTTATATAAAATATAACTTTTTAACACCATAATATAAATTATAAAATTAATTTTTCCACAGAAGTAATGATATAGATATTTATACATTCATATTTTAATGATTTTAAAATTTTGTAAATTTATTTATGATTTAAAAAAACTTTTGAGAAGTAAAATATTTGTGTTTAATGGGTCGTTATTGCCTTTGCAGTACTCAATTTAAATTGGTCGATTAATAAATTAGAAATCATTAGTCATACTAAAAATTAAAAAATATATTAAACACATATTTTTGCATATAATGCAAATACAACACTAAAAAATTAAAATAAAGAGTACATACAATATAGAAATACGAATACTCAAATATTTCAAATTGTGTGTGACATAAATTGCTAACATCTTAAAGAAATTTACAAAAACCTAAAAGAATGTGATACACGGTTATAATCTCATAAAATACAATACATGAATTGGTGTACTTCAACGTTGAAGATTGGACACTGAACATGGGAAGGAACCCAAGTAATTTGTCACGATTTCAAAAGGGCAGGAAAATTGTAGAAAGTAAGTTAAATGCATGTGACACTTGTTTGATTTGATGATAAAATTTGTCTGACAGTTTTTGGGAAACAACAAGAGAATACAATACAAATTATATAATATTTTCAATAAGTATGAAATGTATGATTAATTAAAATTCATATAATGGTATATATAATTTAAAAATATTTTTATGCATAAAATCACTGTTGGGAGACTCACACATCAAAACTAAGTATGTGGATTGGTATGAATTAGTTAAGACGAAACATTAGAATCGAGAGGGCAACAAAAAAAATATTTTATGTAAAAAAATAAATAAGCACTTTTATTAAAAATGTCATACGTAACGCCTTATAAAAAATAAGATAAAAAATTTCATTAACTTTTTGAAATTATTTCTGGAAAAATATTTACAAATTGTGATTAAAATTATAAATAAACAATGATGAATAAAAAGGCTCGTACCTTTGCCCTAATTTCCTTTCTTGTTATGTATGGCTCATAAAAAGTCTCGTTGTGGGGTTACGAATTATGTGGGTTGGGGGTGTGGGGG